TTCACATTATTTTGAATAAATGTGATTTTTGAAGAGTTTTTAAACTTTTTTTATTGTTTTTATTGTATATTTATACTAAAAGAGAGTAGAGTAGAATCTAATCACTATCATTAGATAGTAGATTATAACTATTCTGAAAAGTAGAAATCTCAACTGCTTATATTATATCTAGTTTATCATCAGAGTCATTTCTCAATTCTCTAATCTTAACAGAAGTTTGAGAATTCAAATTCTGTTTACATTTAGCTGAAGAATTGAAGTTTGAAGATTTAGATAGTTGAGAGTTTCTTCTTTTTAAGCTTACAGTTGTGAGTTTACTGACTTGACTATTCTCTTCAATTCTAGATTTGCTTTGAGCTTCATCTTTTCTTCAGTTCTTTTGAGTTCTTGAAGTAAACATACATTCTTTTGAGCTAGATACATGTTTTTCTTTGCAATTAGAGCATTTAAGCAGAGTGTGTTAACATATTTCATCTCTTTTTGAGCATGTTTCATATTTATACTCACTAGTTTTGTGATCTCTGGCACAGAATGTATATTTTGAGTCTTTGAAATAGAAGATTGCAAAGTGTTCATATCTTTGACAGTTTGAACACTGTGTTTGAGCTTTGAGATTCATTCTTGAGTCTTTGTATTCATGAACTCTCATTTTCAAATCTGCTACTCTTACTTCAGAGATCTTTGACTGTTCAAATATCTTTATATATACTAGAACAGAGACATTTCTTCTGCTTTATTTAAACTCAATTGAATTTAGTTATACAAACTCTTTTCTCAGTTGAATAGAGTTATATTCTTCTAATTTATTTTTAAGAAGTAGCATTTCTTCTTCACAGTTAAAAATTTCAACTGAAATGTTATAAAGAATGAATTTATCTTACTTTTCATCTCTCTTAGATAGAATTGTTGTGTTTAACAAAGATTCTACTGCTGATTTTCAGAGATTCTCATTCTGAATGAGGAATTCTGCACTGAATTCAGGCATTGTAGTCAGAATGATAGAGGTTTCAAAGAAGAATGACTCAATTGAAGCTATAACTGGTTTTTGAACTTCAATATCAGTCATTAACTGAGAAAAGAACTGCTGATTAATTTCATTTCTGATTCTGAAAATGAGACTACAGGCGCTAGCCACTCACATGATGCATCTTAAGCTAATTACATTTATCTCTCTATAATTAACTGATCACTGTGTCTGTTCTCTCAGGCCAGCCACTAATTTCCAGAGACATTAGTTAGTGACTGTTATCACTCACTTGATAGCATACACACCAAGCTTCTGATTGCTGATCTCAGCCTCATTAGATACTCATAGATCTATCAATCAGTCATCATGACCTCATCTCATGTTAGAAACTAATTATAGACTTGATGACTGCAGTTCTCTCTGCCAGTATTAGAGCTTGACAGTGAGCTTGCAGACTCTAGTCTATCAGAGTGCTCTGTCTAGAGCCTAGATATGCATCTAGACCTGCTAGTCAGATGATTTTCAAAATCATTCTCTGTATTTTGAGGGAAAGCTAGGCTCTGATGATGACTCTAGTTAGAGACTTGCTTAAGTAGTGTATAATCACTATATTAGACTTGACTCTATATCATTAGAACCTTGACAGATGCACAGTAGAATAGTGAGACATTGACATCTCATATCAGCTCTGATAAGTGTTTATAGAATCTTGCTTAACTAGTGACTTAGCTTGCAGTAGAGAGTTCTACCCTGTATCAAGCCTTACTAATTAGGCTCAGCCTCTATTACATGAGAGCTTTCATGAGTAAGAAGTGACAGGTGTCAGTGATGGGATTCGAACCCACACATCTCTAATATATGCGGCCTTGATTACCAGTCTTACCAACGAGCCACGCTGGAAGTTTAATGAAATAATTAAGAGAATTTCACTGAACTCTTTTAAAGTCTGTAAAACAGAGCTTTGAGAAGAATTCTGAGAGATTCAAATCATCTTTTATTAAAGTAATGAAAATTGAAGCTTCAATTTTTTCTTCTATTATTAGATTTGAAAAGATCTGTATAAACTATACTCTGAGAGTTATAAAGATAAGCTTAAATTATATAATCAGAGAAAGAGTCTCTTCTTCATTTTCATTAATTAACTCTGAAAATGAACTGAATTGAAATAGATTTCTTGATTGAAATGAAAATAATTCTTCAAAGAAAATGTCTTCTCAACTGTATAGACTATACTCACTGATTAAAAATCAATTTTCTTCTTTAAATATTGAAAAAGTTGATCATGAGAAGATATCTCTCTGAAGAGAAAAGCTTAAATCTCTTATAAACTTATAAATAAATAAACTATCTAAGAAGAAAGAATATGAACAGCATTTGAAGAGAATTTCTATAATTAATATAGAAGACTCTATTCTGATTTATTCAGATGACTCTAAAAATGAGAATTTGAATAGATTAGATACAGATATTGTCTTATAATTTAATAGAACTGAAGTGATAACTAGTCAGTGATGTCACATAGAGATAGTTATTGAGAAGCTGTATAAGTGAGCTTGACTATCTTGCTTGAATAGTGAGCTTGTAGACTACAGAGTTATTATGAGAATATCACAGATATGATACTTAGTATACTAAGAAGATTGTATAAGAAACACAGTAACTCTTGTATATATTTCAGTAGAAGAAAAATGAATTACTGACTTCTTTGATGAGAAGTCAGCATCTAGCTATTCTATATAGACAATGAGTGAATACTCTTCTCTTATTTCATGAGTGAGAATAGCTGAAGTGATACCCCAGCAGTGTCTTACTACTAAGAAAGAGTAATCTGCTGATCTTGTATAGAAGTGAGATTCTTATATTCATTAATTAGATCTTTCTATAATATATCTAAATAATGTCATAGAGTGATTGAGAACTGGTTCAGACAGAATGAAATTATTCACATGAAAACAATAATCTGTGTGAAATCACAACAGAGTCTTAATACAGTCAGAAGTATGATAATATTCTTCTCTTTAAAGACATAGTTCTGATGCTCTCTAGATTACTGAATTAGAAGTTATCTTTATTATATAGCAATGATTGCTAACTGATTAACAGTACATATACTGTATATGATATAAAGAAATAGATGAGTCTTTCTACTGACTGTGTAGATCTTTCTTTTCTATCTCTGTTCAAATCAAATGTGTAATAAGTGAGTTTCTTATATATTGATTTAAAATGTGAAAAACATAGTTAATAAGTAACTTACAGATCTCTCATCATATTTCATTCTATATATGAAATTCCCTGTAAAAGTGATGTGTTTTAGAAACAAAGCTAATAGTAGTAATAGGATTTTTTTGAAAGATCTTTCTTTCTTATGATACATTTTTCTTTTCTTCTCTTTCTTAATTGTAATAGTGAGTGTATGAGAGTATCATTCTTGAAAGATAATAAAGAACTTATTCTGACATTTTCTAGTAATTAAACATCTTTATGGTGCAGCTGCAGTCTCTGTGACTGTTAAGAAAGCCAGGTTGAAGATGAAGACAGCAGTGTCAATGAGCCGCGGGAGCATCACTTTCATTGTCACATCTTCTCCTCCTCCTGCATCTCTTACAGCTGTGATGATGATAGCTACATCTTGCAGTGAGGTGTCATCCCTTCTGCTGACTGATTTGTCTGTGTCCGGTTCATTTCCTGCCCTCTTCACCGTCATTGTGATGCTGCCTCCCTTCTCAATCAACACAGTGATGTATGACTCTGTGTGATCATTCAGAGAGAATCTCAGAGAGAGCTTGATTCTGAGAACAGCAGCTTCAAGAAGCTCAATCTATAGTTTCTCTCTCATGATATGTCTGAGCCCTGCTCAGAATACTGCTGAGTTGAGTCTGCAGAGTTCTGTGATTTCTTTATCTTCTCTCTGTGAGAAGACTTCAGTGCAGTCTCTAATCAGTATTATCACTTATCTATACTGTACTAAACAGCTGAAGAAAGAGAGGATTTTATGTACTTACTTCTTCTCTCACTTCTGTTATTTTTATTGTATCTGTAATAACAACTCCTGTCTTTCTGTAAGTATTATCTCACAGAAAGACATCATATCAGCTCTGATAAGAAGTCTAGATACTCAAGTAGTACAGAGCAAGAGTCTCAGAGCTTCAAGTATTGATAGATTCTGTTAAGACTGAAGAGATCTCTCTTACTTATCTATAAAAGAAGATGAAAGTGTGAATCTCTGAGATGAAAAAACATCTCAGAATAACTGATCTCAAGAAGAGATCAGTCAGTGCTGCTGTTGAAAGTACTGTAAAGATTAATCACTGATTGAAGAGAATCTTACTTCAGTTGAAGCAGATAACTGAGATACTTTATAAGTTGATAAGTTGATAATTTTAGTATTTCTCATACTCTTTCTACAGTATACTTCTCTGTGATGCTGCAGTGCTAACTTCTTAGCAGATAAAGATATCAGTGTTAGAGACTTCAACAGTGAAGAATGAGTTTGATAAGAATGTAATTATTGATGAGTAGACTCTGATCTCTCTTTTTACTTTTTCAGCAGACTGCAGCTCTATTAAAATAGCAGTGATCTGCAGATCAATAATATTAATCTTTGTTAGTTTTAAATATCTCTTTCTTTTCTTATTAACTGCTTCAGGAATTTTACACTTGTGTAGTCTCATTAAACTTCTAAAAACTCTTTGAGAGAAAATAGAAGAAGAGTGCTACAGAGTTCATAAGATATCAGCTCATTATTATAAAATCATCTCTAAAAAATTCTTTAAGAAAAATAAGAAGTCTTAAGCAGTATTTCTTACTCAATGTCTCTGATATGTAACAGAGCAGTCTCTACTAGTCATCTTATAGCTTACAATCTCTTTCTCAGCATTTTTCAAATGCTCAAGCAGTTCTCATGAATTCTCTGATAATAAATAATCTTCTTATTTAATGAGATATTGAAGCTTACTGTAATATATTCACTTATTTAATATTTTCTTTATAAGATATTCAGTATCACTCTCAATCTTGATATTATTCAGCTGAGATGACTCTGTCTCAGAGTATTACTTATAGAGTTTCAAATAAAAAATATGAAAAACAGAATGAATTGATTTCAATTCTGAGAGTAATTTTAACTTATATATCTGCTTATTTACTACTCTTATTATCAGAAAAGATTCTAGTCATCACTTACTGAGCTTCTTATACAGTCTTATTATCTTGATATTCTTTGTTAAAAGTAGTACTTGATTCTCTATTAAGAACTTCATTAAAAGATGTTTTTAATTATAGTATTTTATCTATTACTTTTAAGCATAGTGAATACTTTTCACTGTCTTCTTATGAATTTTATTTAAAAGTTTCAATCTCACTTTTACTTCTAATACTGAGAGATACTCTGTTCTCTGTATCTATTCAATATTCTGACTATCTATCTCTCTCTTTAAAGTATTATCTGCAATGTCACTGAGTAATGAAGAATTATATTCATAATAAGTATAGAAAGAAGATATCTTTAAGATTGCATTCTTTACATTATTATATATAAATTCAGTGATTAGAAGATGTTTAAGTCAATTATTCTGATAATATAAATAGAATACTTAAAGATGCTGTTCTAATATCTGATTCTGATATTCAGTCTGATCATCTGTCTGCAGATGAAATGTGATACTGAGAAGATATCTTATTATAAGATAATAGTAAAAGACTGATCAGTATTTACTGATAATAAGAGATTCTTAATCTGTTATTAATAATCTCAGAGCACTGTGATTATAAATAATGATATCTAAAAATAGATCAGTTAATTCAGAGACTTTAATCTTTTTATAAGTGAAGATATATTTTATCATCTTCATAAAATAGTTGATAATGATTAAAATTAAGTTATATTCTTTGACTCTTGTCAACTTCAGTAGATTAACTATGAAATTCATTAATAGATTCTGTCATGAGCTTTTTGAAATAGACAGTGATGTCAACTCACTGTATTACTTATATCATGAGATCTTTATTCTTTAATAGATATTGTAAGTCTTAATATACTCTTTAATATCTGTCTGAAGCTTGTTTAAAATATATTTATATTTTAGAAGCTTCTCAGTCTTCTCTAATCTGAAGTGTTCTGTATGAGAATTATTATGATGAATTATTAATAACTTCTGACACACTGCTCTACTACAAGGGATGAAGACTGAATTATTCAGCAGTAGAAGTTCACATTCTTCTAGTTATCAGTGACTTAATTTCTTAGCAGCACTGTCTCACTCAGAGTCTGTCTCTTTCAAGTTCAAATCAGATTCTTTCTTCTTCAACTTCTGAATTTAAGCTGCAGTAGAGATATTCTTCTTCTATAACTTATCAATAAATTTCAAAAGTAGTTAGATTGAAAGATTGTAGACTGTTTCATTCTTTATCAATTCAATAATAGTAAGATATGATATAAGAAGCTTATAATCTTCAGTGTCAGTTCTCTGTAAGAATTCAGATTTTCTTTCACCTTCTATACTGAGTCACACAGCTGTCTTATCAGTGCTGTTCTCAAGCTTCAGAGAACTTCAATTCTCTGCAGTCAGCTTCTTCTACAGTGATGACAGAGATTCTTTTATAGAATTCTTCTCTGCATTAATAATATCATAATTGAGCTGTCTAGATAGTGTATTAATAAGATTAAGCTGATCTGAATAATATCAGATATAGAAATCATACTCTGAAAGCAGCTTCATTTATCTGACTTAACATTCTATTAAGCTCTTTATTATTAAGAAGTAATACAGATTTATATAATCAGTGAGAACTTACACTGAATACTTACTACTCTGAAGATAATATTATCAGATCTTAAAGAATTTGATAATTACTAATATCTCTTAATCATGAATATTATATCTTCTCTGTGTAAGTGATAACTTCTTGAAGAAGAAGATCACTGATCTTTATTTATAATATCTTATAGACTCTGTAAAAAAGTCTTCTCTCATAGATATTTCATTATCTGTATTCTCAGAGATGATTATTCTCTGATTCTTTTAATATTGAAAGATCTTCAGTGTTAACTGTGAAAAGATTTCATAGATCTCATTTCTGAATATATTAGTCTCACACTGACTGAGTAAGTTGAGATTAAAGTGATTCAGTATTATGATATCTGTAAAAGCCTGTTTCAATTCTGCAAATATCTGTACAGTGTCTTGAGTGAGAGTAAATGATTCTGTTTTTCTGTCTTTCACACTTCTCTTTAACATATCTGTAAGAGAAGTAGTAATCTGTGAATATGTATAGATGAATTATCTGTAGAAGTTTATAAATCTCAGAAATATCTACATCTTATAATACATTCACAGTATCAGTCAGTTCTCAATGATGAAGACTCAGCTTCTGTTCATTGAAATGCTGTTCACTTCAATAATATAATCTAAGAAATCAATCTTCTGTATGTAGAATGAGTATTTTTCAGTATTTGTATAGAGTTAATACTGTCTCAAGTGACTCAATACTTCTTAAACATGAATATCATGTTCTTTCTCTGTTTTTGAGAAGATTAGAATGTCATTCAAGTATACTATACAGAAGATGTCAACAAGGCCTCACAGTGTCTTATTTATATAGATCTGAAAGATGACTGAAGTATTATAAAGACTAAAAGATAAAACAAGATATTCAAAATTGCTGTACTTGATATGAAAAGCTGTTTTTCAAATGTCATCTTTATTAACTCTGATTCTATAATAGATATTCTGTATATTAATCTTTGAGAATATTTTTACTTCAGATAATCAATTGATCATCTTGTCAATTAATAATAATAAATAGTGATTCTTAACTATCATCTTATTAAGATCTCTGTAGTCTATATATAGATATAGCCTACTGTTCTTCTTAAGTATAAAGAGTATAGACATCTCTGCTGAACTCTTTTATAAGTATATTCAGTTCTTTGATTATGCTTTTCTCAAGATATTTATACAGAATATTTAATTTTCTTTACAGACAAGTTATAAAGAGACCTATACAGCACTG